TGTTTTTCAAGACCATATTCTTAGATATTTTTTTAACATTGAAGTGTATGTCTGTGATACATAAATAAGTGTCCAAAGAAGTGAAAGTAATAAAAATAACAAGTAAACAAAATAAATAAAACGTACCTTCGGAGAAAACAGGGGTTTGACCACTAAGTTGTTCGTGAACCTATGAAAAAGAGAAACCATGCGTTACATAATTGAAAGAAATGAACTCAGAAACGGTACAAACGATAACGAAAAAATACCTTTGCAGCTCTGGTAAGCCGATCTCTACTTTCACCAACGGAGATGTTGAGGACAAGTTTCTGCACTTTGATATTCCGCATTGGATTAGCCAATTCCTTCTCCGAAGCCTGTCATAAACATTTTTCGTCAATTTTATAACCGCATAGTCATATACATAGACTTGCATATTCAACCATCAAAAGTATCTTAAACCAAATTGATAAATGTTAATGAACACAATAGATACCAAATCAGATTAGCTACTTCTTGATATCAGCTTTTTTAAATAAACAACTTATTTAAGTGCTTATAAATAAGCTATTTCTATACCAAAAGATGAAATAAAGTCTAACTATTGTTACATAAATTATAAATTGTTTTAATAAACTATCTCAGTGAAAGACCTTAAGTTTGGTATAGTTTTCAGAAGAGTCAAAAGTAATTCTAAAAGGGCAGAATTGATTTTGCAATGATTATTAAGTGTTTGGCTCTTCTAGCAAAATTGATTCTGCCTCTAAAATTGATTATACTGGAAGATAGAATTTGTAGATTTACACTGAAATTCGTTGTTTCAATGTCATTTTTACATAAATGTCTCCGAATATAACTTTTAAGTGGGTGTTTGGATATCTTTCGCCAACGTAGAACTAAAAATCCACTCAAAGAAACTTACGAAAATAAGCTAAAAATAAACTAAAAACAGTTTATAAAAAAGTTATAAGCTGTTTTTATATGATCTCTTAAGCAGAAGTGTTGATGTAAATTCATAAACTAAGTATATCAAAGTAAGAAAAACCAAAAACTCATTAACAATTCAAAAATTTTAACTTCATATATATTGACATCTAAAACTGTAACACAACCGAGTTCATTTTCAATTTCTCAATCCAAAATCCACACAAATTAAATGGATCATAGAAACCATTTTCCAATCCTAGAATATTATTTTATTGCATATATTCAATTAAATTGAATTGAATACAATTGAAGATAGAGATTTGATTTTATCATTTGGAATATGAAAATTATAATTCTGGATTGAGATGGAAGAATTCGGAACGGCCCGAGTGGTGGAAGAATTCTGTTTAGAGATGGAAGAATTCGGAACGGGGATGGTTGAAACCTTTGTTAAAAAAAAAATTCTTTGTTCAATGCCAAGTTACATGCTGATTCTCACAAAAGTGAATGTAATATGTATTGTTTAGATTGTATGAATGGTCCTATCTGTTCTCTTTGTCTTGCTATCATAAAGATTATTGTTTTATTCAGGTAAATTGTTTAAATCAATTCATCAAAGTCTTCTATTTTTTGCACTAAAACGTAGAATCTGACACATTCTAGACATATTTTGTAGAAGTGTTTTTGATTGGTAAAAGTTTCAGTTTTGTTTTCTGCGCTGAGATCTGAACCATTTCATTGTTTTTTTTATCAGTTTCCTTTGATCATTGTCATTATTTTTTTCAAAAAGAAATTATTTTCAGCTGATTTTAAGCTATTTTGAATCAGTGTTTTAGGTGGAAATGAAATTTTACTATTATGGTATAATGTCTATTTAATGTACTATGGTTTATGTCTATTGAATGTACTAAGTGTTTTTGTTAGAAGATCTTGCTACTAGGATAAATGAGATTCAGAAGGTATTGGACATCACTGGTGTTCAAACCTATGTTATCAACGGTGCAAGAGTTGTGTTTTTCAATGAAAGGCCTCAGCCATGGCCGGGGAAAGGTGTCACAAACACTTGTGAAGTCTGTGAACGTAGTCTTCCGATTCCTTCCGGTTCTGCTCTCTCGGTTGCAAGGTACTTTACTATGCATTCCATTAATCAAATTTCAAAGTACTGTATGCGCCATTGATTGTGTCCGACATTCTTGTTCAGCACTGGTGTCCGAGAGTTCGTGCTTCGTAGATCTGAGATTCAAGTCTTCTCGTCAAAGACTTTAAAGAAGGTTACAACTTTCAAAAATTGGAGTTTGATTTTGATTAGCTTTCTTTTCAAGCTAAAAGAAAACTTTTGTGTGTTAAAATGACTTAAGTTGACTTTTTCATAATGTGTACTCTTTGTGAGTGTTATTTATCGGGAAAGGAAACTAGGTTTTTTTATTTGAAATCACAACTATGCTTTATTTTTTATTTTAATTTTTCACTAAAATTCATATTTTTCTATAAGAAAATTCAAAATGCACATATAAATATTTTATATTGTTATCTAATAACAAAGTTCATCCCATCACATTATATTATATTGCTGATAAATATTTTATATTGTTTTCTAATAACAACATTCAACCCACCCATGATACTGTTGCTTTTTTTTATAAAAAACATTAAATAATTTTTTTCGCTGGTAAAAAACTACTCTAAAGTAAATAAAAGGTAGATTTGTTTAAAAATAAACCGTTATGTTTTAAAAACAAGTATATTTGTTTATTTTTTGGAATAAAATTTATTTTTTATTTTTTTGGAATAAAAATATTTTTTAGTTTTAGAAAAAATAGTTACTTTAAAAAATATATTTTTCATTTTCAGGTTTTTTTCGAAAATTTAAAAAAATAAAATTTTAAGTGTTTAAATTTTAAAACTAATATTAATTTAAAGAAAATAAAATTTAAATTTAATTAAATATTAAGATTAAAATCACAATCCATTTCAATATGATATTTGGTTTATAGTCATGAAAGTTGAGACCTTTGATTCAATATAACCACCACCAAATTGAGTCTTTTATGTTGTTTTCAAAATTATAGAATTTATTGAAGAGAAAACACGAGATTTATAGTTACATCATAAAATTTTTATGATACTCTAAATTTCTAAGTTTTGTGGATTGAAGATAGAACACGAGGGTTAAAGTTAAATTATGAAGTTCTTATGAAGCATAAGATTTAGAATTAAATCATTAAGTTCCTATGATACTCTAAGTTGTGTGTATTGAATAGAAAGCATGAGGCTTAGAGTTAAATCATGAGATTTTTATGATACTCTAAATTGTGTGTATCAAAGAGAAAACATGAGGTTTAGAGTTAAATTATGAGGTTTTTATGGTGCTCTAAATTGTGTTATTCAAGAGAAGCATGAGGCTTAGAGTTAAATCATGAGGTTTTTACGTATTGAAGAGAAAAAAAAACATGAGACTTTGAGTTAAATTATGTGATTTTTATGACACTCTAAGTTGTATGTATTTTGTATGTATTGAGGAGAAAATATGAGAGTTAAAGTTAAATCATGAGGTTCATATGATCCTTTAAATTCAACATATAGTCTCACATGTAGGGGTGTTCATGGGTGCGGGTCGACCCGCAAACCCGTCTACCCAAACCGAACCAACCCACTAATTACCCGAACTCATTCATTTACGGGTATACCCGACCCAACCCGTAACAACTCGTATAGATTTGGTTCGGGTATTGGGTTTTAGTTTCTAAACCCATGAACCCGTTGACCCAACCCGTTGACGTGGCATAATTAATTATTATTATTATTATTATTATATTATTATTTATAAATTTTAAAGTTGCTATAACTTTGTAAATTGTAACGTACACAAAAATCTTTTGCACTTTTCTTCCAGTTTCCAATCACACATTAAATTATTATTATTATTATTATAATTAAACATTATTATTAATATTAATCATGCTTGCTTGACTTATGCTTTCCAATTACACATTAATCACTGCTGGTGCTGGAATCTTTTATAGTTGCTGTTAGATTTTGGTGCTATTAGACCAATATTGGACCAATACATCTATGTCATTTTAAGACTAAGGGATGTTTATTTGCTTTTGAATTATTTAGAATTTATGAATTTTATGGAAATGATATTTTATGGAATTTTATATATTATTAAGTGTTAATATATATGATAGTTTACGGACCTACTTTTAAGCATGTGCTAGAAAATGTAACATTTGAGTATCAAAACAACTAATATATACTGTATATTATTATATATTTGTTTTACATATGTTGATATATATTTGTAATGGATAACATTTGAGTATCAAAATAACTAATAAATTTTTATAAATTAAGGTATATCAATGAAAATATATAAATAATTAATGGTGTATATGTATCTTAATATTTTTTATGACAAAGAAAATACATTTCAAAATTTTAATTGTTATATTTTTAATTATTCTATTTTATATGTAGGATTTGTCTCCACTACGTAAATAATTTAATTGTTTGAAATATGCAAAATTATATTGAATTGTAATATAGATTTTTTAAATTGAAAATAATAATTATTATATACACAACCCGTGAACCCAACCCTACCCAACCCGTAAATATCCGGGTTGATTCGGGTCGGTTTTTAAAGTAGAATTACGGATTTGATGATAAACCCAACCCATTGAAAATTGAACGGGTTGGGTAACGGGTTAAGGCGAACCCGGTCCAACCCAACCCGCGTACACCCCTACTCACATGTGACTTAGTGTATACGTTAATTTAGGATAAATGTGCAGAAAATTAAAAAGTGCAAATTAAATTGATATCTATATATATATCCTTACCTCCTTTTGATAGAAATTTAAAAAGTATGAGCCAAACAAAGAATTTCTACTTTATTTATTGAAGAGGTTATACCTCACATATGACTTGAGGAAATACATAGCAATCAAAAGAGAATGCTTTCATTTCCAAGAAAACTCAATAATTTCATTGAAACGGTTCACATTATAAATATCTAATTTGTTCAACTTCCATTATACCATTGCCATAGTTCTTTGAAACTTTAAGGCAAACAAGAGCCACTATTAGAAATGGCGTCTACTTCGCAACCATATATCTATGAAGATTTGCATCCAAAAATTGAAACACAGAATACTCCAGAATCACACCTTTTCATACTTCACATTCCTGATGGTATTGCACAATTTATTTATTTTATGTTTAAATCTTTTGAAATACTAAATAACATGATTTCATTCCTTAATATTGAATGCATTTTACAGGTTTTGCAAAAGGAGATATTGGCGCTAAAATTGACTATGATTTAGGAAGGGTGAGAGTTTTTGGTAAAACAACAACTGGATCAAAAAGAGTAATGAGTTTCAATGAAAAGTATCAAGTTCCATCACATTGTGATATTGGCAATATTAGAGGCAAGTTTGATGGAAAAACTGTCACTATTATAATGCCAAGTAAAAAGAGCTTTGGTGAATCAACAAGAACAAGAATCAAAGACATGGCTTTATCTACAACTCAAGCTGTAACTAACTATGCAAAGAGGTTCAATGAAGAAGATAAACAAAAGCTAATATATACTGGTGCAACAATTCTTGTCGTAGCACTCGGTGTTTACGCTTCTTATAAGTATTGTTCCTCGTGTAGACCATAAACAAATTGCATACTTGACAAAGAAATCAGAATTTATATAGTGGTGGAAACCTGACTTTATTCTCTCTTAAGTTTGTGTTTTTCTAAATCATTTCCTAAGTTTCCTGAAATAATCATTGTTTCTGGTTTAACTATCATTATGAATATTGAACGGATTGTGTTTTATGTACAAATACATTGAGCGGATTGTAAATGTTGAATGTGATGACAACTAACGTTTTTGAGCTATTTCGGTTTCGCTCGGTAAGGGAGAGGATGACTACCTTATAGTCTTAATTCTCCTCAGAGATTCAAAATTTGCTAATAATATCAATGGTTATCCATACTGAGTACCAGACGAGCTTTTAACGAACAAGATCCACAGGGAAGAATCACTGATCCTGGTAAAGTATCACCATCTCTCGACAAAGAATACCCCATTTTTAGCAATTCCAACGAGTCAACAGAGAAGTAATCACCACACCGGCACCGATAAAACAGTTATAATGCTTCATCGGCGTCTTCAACTTCCATATCATGTAAGCTTAAATCTTCTGCAACTTCAGCAGCCAAGACATCCCGCCTTGAACATTGCAGCTGCTTATCATAAAATAAACGAGAGCTTGAATCGCTTAGAATTTCCCATTCCTTTTGAACTCTGAGAAATTTGTCTGTACTTGTTTGATTACTGTTGGATGTATCGAATGTCTTCAATAGCTTATCAGGATGTAAACTGAGTACAACACTTCTGTAACTCTCATAATGAGTTTCCTCTGTGCCATAGTTATTAATTATCATTTTTTCAAGGTTGTCTGCATTCAGAAGAGAAACTATCATAAACAAGCAAATAATCAATACTATGTCACCTAAAAAGTGCTGCAATTCTAATTACAACTATTCAAACTAAGTTTTCACAAACTCTCTTCTTTAGAACAAATTTTAAAATCCTTGGAATCATTTGTTTATTTCCATAGAATCATCAGTCATAAGTGGAGAAAATCTAAAACAGCAGTAAGGACAAATGTAGCACCAACACTTCTGAATAAAGGCGTGTTTGTATCTGACACGATCCCAAGACATGTGATTACACTCGATTAAATCATTTTCTTATAGTATTATCGAGGGTCATGTCTCGTGTATACATTGTTGTCAAAATCTAGATTTAAATCGTGAGATCTTAAGATCTTACGAGTTTTCACCATGCTCTGCGGCGGAGCGCAGTAAAGATCGCTGGAGAAGGCAGCGCGGTAGGAGCGCAGTGTAAGATCGTAAAAACGTGAAAGCGAATATCTATTTCACAGTAGAAAATTTGTCCAACCCATTTTGACCCGACCCGGTCCAATGTCCATTAAAGGTGACCTGTTCATCTTTTTCTACCCGCCTTTTCACATTAAATTAGCAGTTTTTCATCGTTAAAAGTCAGAATCTATTGCTATCTACAAGGCTGATTTTTTTGGGGAAATTAAAAATCAATCTGATAAATATCAATTAATTAAATGATATCATTTATTCTTCTTCAATTCCATCTATAAATCAATCATACGATTTTTATTCCATCATCAACTTCTTTTCTTCTTTAGTTATACAATCTCTCATCATACCTTCTATTCTACCACACTTTTTTCAAAATGTCTTCATCAATTCCAGTTCATGCATCCTCATCTACACCACCAAAAGTTCAAAAAAATGCTCCGGGAAGCAGAACTGATATTGCTTCGAAGCATGGTGTCTCGGTTGATGGAGGAATACAAAAAATCAGATGCAATTACTGTTCAAAGGAAGTAATCGGAGGAGAGTACGGGCTGAAACATCATTTAGCTTGTACACAGATAAACGTTGGTGTGTGTAAATATGTACCTGATGATGTTAAAGTCCAAATGTGGGAGATTTTAAAGTCTCTGCATAACAATTTGCTAAAAAAAAACAGAGGATGCAAATGAAATAGTAACAGGAAAGAGACCATTGGAGGATGATGATAATGCTGGAGAACAAGCATGTCTTGAAATTGCTTCATCCTTCTACAACAATGCCATAGCTTTTAATGTGGCAAAAAATGAAGAATTTCAAAAAATGTTGGAGATGGTTTCAAGACATGGTCTTGCATTCAAACCACCTTCATATCATGAAATCAGAATAAAGTACTTGAAGCATAAAATGGAGGAAATAGAGAAATTCATTGAAGCACACAAACTTATTTGGGAGAATACAGGATGCATTATAATGAGTGATGGGTGGACAAACAAAAGAAGAAGAATAATATTGAATTTCTTAGTGAACAGCCCTAAAGGTACCGTCTTTTTAAAGTCCATTGATGCCTCACACATTACAAAAATTGTTGATGCAATTTTTAAGATGATTGATGACATTGTGGAAGAAGTGGGAGAAAAAAATGTTGTGCAAATTGTCCCTGACAATGCTGCAAACTACAAAGCAGCAGGTACAATGTTAATGGAAAAGCGAAAGAAGCTCTTTCGGACCCCTGTCAGCCCACTGCATTGATCTCATGTTAGAGGATTTTGAAAAAAATATAAAAGTTCACAATAAAACAATTTCAAAAGTTAAGCAAATCACTCAATTCATTTATTCAAAGTCTTCCCTTATTTTTTTATTACAAATTCATATAAAAGGAAAAAATTTGGTGAGACTTGCAGTTACTCGATTTGCGACATCTTATTTAACTTTAGGGTGTCTCATGGAGAATAAAGGAGGATTGATAAGAATGTTCACATCTTATGAATGGACAATAACCAAGTTTGCAAAAACAAGTGAAGGAAAGCAAATTGAAGAAGTGGTTATGGATAAAGAGTTTTGGAAAAATATTGTTATTTGTTGTAATGGTGCTTATCCTCTAATTAAAGTACTCCGTTTAGTGGATTCTGATGAAATTCCAGCAATGGGATTAATTTATGAGGAAATGGACAAAGCTAAAGAGAAAATTCAAGCTAACTTCAATGGTGTTCAAAGAAGGTATTAACTACAACTCTAATTCTGTTTCATTTTTAGAAAAAATCTAGTCCCTGTTTGATGTACTCTTGTCTCTGCTTTGTTAAAATCTGATATGTTCTATGTACTCGTCTCTGTTTTGTTTACTCTTCAAATTTGTTTTTTTTTTATTCAACTTTCCTCACTGATCTCTTGTTTTATTCAACTTTAGTCACTGAATTCTTATTTATTATTATTTAGTTACAAACCTTTATGGGATATAATGGATGAAAGGTGGGATAAGCAATTGCACAGACCTTTGCATGCTGTCGGTTACTATCTCAACCCAAAATTGCATTATATCTCTAATTTGAAGAAATAAGTAAGATAGATGCCCAATTGGAAGATTTTAAGAGAAAGGCAGAGTTTTTCTGTAGTGCAATAGCATTGGCTGCTCTTAAAACTAAAACTCCGGCACAATGGTGGGAATCATATGGGGATGAGCATTCCGAGCTACAAAAATTTGTAATTTATGTCCTTAGCTTAACTTGTAGCTCATCGGAATGTGAAAGAAATTGGAGTGCTTTTGAAATGGTCCATACAAAGAAAAGAAATCGCTTGAAGCAAAAAAAAAAAATGAATGATGTTTTGTTTGTAATGACAAATTCAAAGTTGGCAAAAAAAGAAGAAAACAAGAAAGGTGATAGAATGTAGCATTGACGAAATTGAATCGGATGATGAATGGATCATGGACAATGATCAAAATTTGTTAGATGATGATATTTTAGATTTCACAATTGAAAGTAGAGATTTAGAAGTTGACAATCAAAATAGACAGAATGGAATTAGCAATCAAGATGATTTGGAGGTTCACAACCTTGATGATGAAGATGATGGAGGAGATGAAGATGATTTGGATGTTGGATTTGCTCAAGATGCATTGCATGATTTGCTAAATTGAAGTTTATGTTTAAGTTAAATTTTAGTTTATGTTTAGTGTTAATGTTTTGGAATTTTGGATGTTTTTAATTATTTGAAATTTTGGAATTTTAGAATTTGAAATGTGGTTTTTATTAATTTAAAAAAAAAATATGTTAATGTTTTTTTAGTAAAATGTTATATTTGGTGGGTTCTTACTATCCGATTTACAATTTTACCATTCACGCGTTTTTCAACCTCCAACAATCTTTAGTGATATCCTGATTTTTCAACCCCAAAGCTTTGTCAAGCAATAAGTTTTTTTCGCTTTAAATTGTGATGAAAAACTCCCTTGTTATGGTAGTAATCGACGTCATCAACGAGTTGCTAGAATAGTTTTCTTGCCTCACATTCATTCAACTTACCAACATAAGACATCTTGTCCAACAGTTGACCTCTTGATACATATTCCATCACAATGTATATTTTGTCTTGTACCAATAACCTCATGAATTCTAACAACCTTAGGATGATGTAGGAGTTTTATTGTTCTAATCTCACTTTGTACCTTATACGTAAGATTGTTTATATTCTAGCAGTTTTGATTTTCTCTTTGAGGAGGAAATAAGCTTGTTTCTTGAATTCAAAGAAAGAGATACTCATTTTTGTTGTTATTTTTGTTTTGACATCGGGCTTATGATTTGGATAAATTTTCTATAGGTATCTAATAGCATGCAAAATGATCACTATCATGTAATCTCCTTGTTAGCAGGATTTCCAACAACAATGGTGTTAGCTTGCTACCAGTACCTAATCCTTGAAAAGGAAGGTAGATATTGTTAAGATTGCGGAGGAGCAGATGATGCATTGTTGTACATGATATGGTACTGCACTAGTTTGGGGTTTATCAATGCTTGAAAGTTGCAGACCTGTCAATTCAGACAACAAAGCTCTATGAACATCACCTATGGCGGTTTTAGCGATCTCAGATCTGATACAATGCAGAGTTTTATCATGTTCAATACATTGATCAACGGTGCCAAAATTGACAAGGTATGTGCTTGGACAAGTTGCTTTAGAGGTGACAGTTTCAAATTGACAAACTGATTAAAACCAAACCACTCTTTCAATGTCATTCTTGATTAAAACACTAGAAATAAATTTAAGAAAACTCAAAAGTAT